TGGGGCACACAGGTGCAAGAGGTGGGTTACTAAGGCTTTGGGCAGCTCTATTCCTGAGGCTTTTCAGGATGCAGCCCTGGCATGTTTTCATGGGCTGGCATCGAGAACCTGTGGCTTTTCCAGGTGCAGGGTGCAAGCTGACAGTGCATCTACCATTTTAGGGTCTGGGAGATGGTGGCCCTCTTGTCACAGCTCCATTACGCAGTACCGCAGTGGGGACTCTGTGTGGAGGCTCCAACCCACATTTCACCTCCACACTACTCTAGTAGAGGTTCTTCATGTGGCCTCTGCCCCGAAGCAGGCTTCTACCTGGACATCCAGGCTTTTCCATACATCCTCTAAAATCTAGGCAGAAAGTCCCAAGCCTCAACTCTTGCACTTTGTGAACCTACAGGCTTAAGACCACGTGAGAGCCACCAAGGCTTATGGTTTGCATCCTCTGAAGCAGAGGCCTGAGCTGTACCTGGGCCTCTTTGAGCCAAGACTGGAGCTAGAGTGGCTGGGAGCAGGGAGTAGTGTTTGAAGGCTGTGCAGTGCAGCAGGACCCTGGACCTGGCCCATAAAATCATCCTTTCCTCCTAGGCCTTTGGACCTATGATAGGAGGGATGCCAGAAAGTTTCTGAAATGCCTGTGGGGCCTGCCCCCATTGTCTTGGCTGTCAGTATTTGCCTCCTCTTTACTTTTGCAAATTTCTGCAGCCTACTTGAATTCCTCTCCTGAAAATGCTTTTTTCTTTTCTACCATATGGGCAGGCTGTAAATTTTCCAAACTTTTGCACTCTGCTTCCCCTTTAAATATAACTTCCAGTTTCAGGTCATTTCTTTGGTCACACATATAAACATAGGTTGTTAGAAACAGCCAGGCTGCTTCTTGATTGCTTTGCTGCTTAGAAATTTCTTCCCCCAAAAGATACCAAGTCACTCTCAAATTTAAAGTTCCACAGATCCCTAGAGCAGGGGCACAGTGCCCACAACCTCTTTGCTAATGTATAATAACAGTGATTTGCTCCAGTTCCCAGCAAATTCCTCAACTCCAGCTGAGACCTCCTCAGCCTGGACTTCACTGTCTATGTCACTATCAGCATTCTGGTTATAATTCAGACAGTCTGTGGGAAGTTCTAATTTTTTCCACATCTTCCTGTCTTCTTCTGAGTCCTCCACATTCTTTCAACCTCTGCCCATTACCCAGTTCCAAATCTGCTCCCATATTTTCAGGTATTTTTATGGCAATGCCCTTCTCTTTGGTACTACTCTTCTGTATTAGTCTGTTCTTGCATTGCTATAAAGAATTAACTGAGCCTGGGTAATTCATAAAGAAAAGAGATTTAGTTGGCTCATGGTTCTGCAGGCTTAACAGGAAGCATAACAGCTTCTGGGGAGGCCTTAGGAAACTTTCAATCATGGTGGAAGGCAAAGGGGAAACAGGCATGTGTTACATGGCTGGAGCAGGAGGAAGAGAGAAGGGGAGGTGTCACACACTTGAAACATCCAGATCTCCTAAGAACTTTATCATGAGAACAGCACCAAAGGGATGGTGCTAAACCATTTACGATCCATCCCCGTGATCCAATCACCTTCTATCAGGCCCCACCTCCACAATTGGGCATTACAGTTGAATGTGAATTTTGGGTGGGGACACAGATCCAGACCATATTAGAGGGAGGGTTAACTTTATTCCTGTTTTGCAGATGAGAAGACAAAGACATGGAGATATAGCACAAAAATGATAAGTAATTTGCCTAAGTCACCCAACTAGCAGATCTCAGGCAACCTGCCTCCAGAGCCTACACTACAAGGCACAGGACAATTCTGAGTAGTCTGGAGGTATAGGTGTTCGTTATGTTTCTGGCATTATGAGAAAAATTTAGATGGTTGTATTGAGCACAGTGGTTCTTGGTCAAACTTGTTTGCCTGCATGTGTGACACAGATGATGCCATTTTCCAGAGCATCCTCATAGTTGTACCACAAACATTTACATGTTTCCAAGAAATTCACTGTCAATTTTCATGCTTCAAGGACACCATTTGTGATTCACTTGTGGTTAGATGAGGTTAAAGTTGACCAGTAAACTTGGGAGCAGGAGGTAGTATTGTAAGAATGTGGAGATATTAGGGAGAGAATTAACATTTCTTTCTTACAAAGCAAGAAAACAATGTGAATGTATGAAGCCAGGGTAAAGTTTTACACAGGCAGCCTTGACTAGTGTAAAGTCTGGCCCAGGAAGATGGATTTATAATACTACCTCTGCTGACTTCATATTCTGTTCAGACCTATTAGCAATTCTGTGGAGAAGCATCAAAAGATTGACCTAGTGTTTGTTTCTGTTTTTTGAAAAATGGCACTGTTTATCAAAAAAGATGACCAGGAGGGTTTCAGTGGAATAACTTGTCAGTATTTACTATTCACTTATAAGTGTTTTTTTATTTTCATTCATTCATTCTAATTTCACTGGATAGAGTTTATTGAGTAATGTACACCAGACCCTAGGTTAGGTGCTAAGGAAGTAGCAATGCCTCAAACAAGGGCTTTGTCTTTAAACAGCAGTGAAATATAAAAGTGAGAGGATGGCAAACATTTAAAGAGCTCAGTTACCTGAAGCACTGTGTAGGTGCTGAGGCACATGTGTGATGGGAGATGTGGCCAAATGAAAGAAGCAGTGTTCAGATCTGCCTAACAGGTAGCGGAAAAGGAGGTCATATAGAAGGTTTTCCTTGAATTAAGACTTTAAAGATGCAGAGGTGCTTACTAGGTGGATAAGTTAGGGAAAGGGCATTCCAGGCAAAGAGAAGAGCAAGAACAAGATAAGGATTAAAATAAACGTTTCAGTGATCACATTCGTTTTTATTGGCTCTAAGGTGTGCATGTTTTTACATGACAACATCTCTGAAATCTTGGACATCATGCACTAGTTGGACTGGCAGTTCATGTTCTTACTAATACATAAAATAATGATTCACATTACAATATGCGGCATTTTCGTTTTATGAAATAATCTATTTGTATGTTTTGCCATCAAGAAGTATTTATTGGATGCAGTTCTGGCTGCTGTGTCTTTGTTTTAGAGGTAGACAGATAATTAATACCTTTTTACTGAAGAGGAAACAGGAACGAATGACTGAATTTCTTAGATAAATATATGACATTAAATTTGACAGAATACTTGACTTTTGATGTTGCTTTTAATAGTAGTGGCTAGTAGCAATGGAACCTGGGGAGAGAATTCATATAGATGATTCATTCATTCAGTCTTAATATATTGAACTAGGCTATGAACCATCACATTGCCTTTTTTTTCAAGGTAGAAAGGGAGTTTGAAAAGCTAATGCATGTAGCTTATGGAGATTTTTTAAGATATCAAATTTATGATACATCACATAAAAATGTACCTACTATTCTTGGTGTCAAGATGAAGCCCTTATGATACAGAGCTTTATGAGTTATGAAAACAGAATATCTATAACTGATCTTTTAAGGCACAAGAAGATGGATCAGATATAAACCACAGTGGGAGGGGTAAAGGTTTATGTATCTGGGAAAGAAAATCAGAGAAATTTCGATTGCAGCGAATGATCTTGGAACGTGTACAAAGAAGAAACTAGGCATGTCAGAGCCTAAATTTAAGCACACAGGTGTTATGAAAATACACTCTAGTAGAATTAGCTTCTGTTCTCTCTTTAAATCCCTGTGCGATTTTGGGCAGGTCAATTACCACTTGGAATTTAGTCCCATAAGGCTACACTAGATCAGGGTTCCTGGCAGCTGATAACGCTGTGATTCCCCCACCATTTTTGAGATATGGCTGCATTGATGGAAACAGTGATTGCTCCAATGTTTTGTTTGTCCTATTGTTTTGGGGGATGGCACTCATAGAATGTTACAAAAGGTGACAAGTAATGGCACTTTGGGGCTATCAATTTAATTTGGGGGAAAACAAAACAGGAAATTATGCCCCCTACAGCTAAGGAAACTGACAGTGACACTTTGCCTCCTACTTTGATCCCAAATATAGCAACAAAAAAGATGGGAAATTTGCTGAGAAAAATGTAAAGCTTAATTTTTTAGAGATTGAGATAACATATATTTTTGTTTGCTAGAAATGGAAACAGAGTGTATAGTTACTGAGACTTGACCAGGTAGTTGATTAAAAAAAGGTTTGAAAAAGTTCACCCATGTGAAAAGAACGTCTAGAATGATTCAGCTCGTTATTATTTTTTAATAAATGAGTCATGGCAGTGTTTGCCTTTCTCAAACTCTTTGCTTTTCACTTTTCCATAACGATACAGATTCTTGTGGGTTCCTTTTTTCTTTCCTCATTGGGTATGTACCAACTTTTACTACACTGAAAAATTGTTACTAATGAAAATGAAAAATCTATGTCCGATTTGGTTACCATGTTGTTTTACCAATGAGCATTTTGTTTACAACTCTCTCATCCTGATTTTTTAAAAAATTGGGTAGATGTCCAATCACAATCTATTCAGATGAGGAGAAAAAAGTCAAAGTTAGAGAAACACAGCCAGACTACATCCTTGTAAAGAGACTTTTTGGAAGTACAGATTTGGAATGAAGAAAACCAGTTAAACAAGTTTTTTTTTGTTCCAGTAGTGTCAACTTTCCTTGCTGGGTGATTCAAGATATTAGCTATTCTAGGAAAAAACTTGGTTTGATACAGGTAATCCCATCTACTTACCACCTTAACCCTTTATGTAAGGATATTATAAAATAGAATTTTTAATATAATTGGAAACTTCTACACAGAAGGAGTAAAATTTAAGCACATTTTGTGTGAGTGCTGATTATGGGAACGTTTCTATTATAGCATTATGACTTTGTCATTGGAATTAGAGAAAGCCTTTTGGTATCACCAATACTAAAAAAATAAAGAAATGATCCAAGGACTGTCTCTAAAGATGGGTCCTGATATAAACGTGCACATGTCTGTATTTACTGATTTCTGATGTAAGGGACATGAAAGCTAACCTGATTCATTTGTTTTTAGGGGCTCTTGGCTTTGGGCCTCAGTGCAAGTCCATTGGAAAAGGCAGCTGCAACAATCTAGTGGTCACCAGCAGTCCCATGATGGTTCAGCGACTGGGACCCATTTCACCTCCAGCAAGCCAGGTCTCTACAGCATGCAACCAGATCAGTCCTAGCTTACAGAGGGCAATGAATGCAGCCAACCTGAATATACCTCCTTCAGATACCAGGTCTCAAGTTAACTTTTTTTTCCCCCTTCTTTATGGTATAAACACACCCCACGAGTGTCTTCCCATCTCTTTCTGAACACACACACACACACACACACACACAATACTCATACACTTACACACTCAAGCAACTCTCTCAATTTGAGGTTTGTAGGGGAATATGTCAAAAACTAAGTATGTGCCATCATATCATCTTAATTGGAAGGAATGGTTTAATACCTACTGTCTTGTGGTGTGAGTGAAATGAATACCTAATTTGAGATTGTGGGGCCTCAGTGACTGAAACACGGTGTGTAAATTTGTCAATTTCGGTGAAGCAATCGTATCATGGCCTAGTAAATTTGCATGGTCCATGCACACCTATCTTACTTGCCAGGTTTTCTGTGAATATGAGGCAGAGTTTCCAGGCTGTTGTACTATCTGTTTTATCCATCTGTCTATCCATCTAGCTATGCATCTATTTAAGTACTTGTTAAATACCTACGGTCTGCATAATATAATAGTTGAAGTTTAGGGAGAGAGTAAAGATAGAAAGCATAAATTTTAAGACTTTCCAAGGTATCTGTAAAGGCATATTTTCTTGTTTGAGTTACATAACATTTCAACATAATGTCGATTAGGTTCCAGAGTAAGTAGGTATTATAAATGCCATATATCTACCTCCAAGGGAGGGAATCGAATAGAAAAGGGAAATTAACCCCTCAGACAGTTTAATTTCTCTCAAGGTTGATATTAGGTGTGAGGGGGCATAAAACCAAAATACTGTGCAGTGTTTAAGGTCTATTTCTATGTTCAAAATAAATTATTTTATCGTCTTGAAGTTATCTTCTTGGAAGAGCACAATCCATAGTTTCTGCCTCTTAGTCCTGGTTCTGCCATAGCTATGATCTTGCAAGGGAATTTTACTCTCCAAGCCTCTGCTTCCACTTCTTTGGGATCTGCAACCTGCTCTGTGCCTTGCAGTTCTGGGATCCTGTGTCTTCTTCCTTTCCTTCCTCCTAACCCTGTTTTCCCCTTTTGTATCTCTGTGCTGTTCCTCCTAGTCACTATTTGAGACTCTGAAATCAGAGTTCCTGGATCATTTATTTATGCCAATTTTTTCATGAGATAGAAACTTGTTTTTCACCTGTGACTTTTTGTGATGGGAAGCTGCTGTCATTTTCCCATTGATGATTATGCCTTAAGGGACTCCTCAGACTTGCCGAGTGCTGCATGTAAAATGAACCGTGCTCATGGGGTGGGTGTCATTGGGAAGCCTTCAGCTTTCTTTCTGTGGCAAGTCCAGCCCATGCCTTGAAGGCAGAAGTCATAATTAATGGCGAAACTGACAGTAGTCAGGGCACAGAATGCTTAAGCCATGTATCTTATGCAGTCCCTTTTATGGGTCGGCCAGAGAGGGGTCATTATCTCAGTGTTTTCTGGCATATTTGATTGCTTAGCATAATTTTATAACCTTAAAAGACAACACCATAACAATGCACTGACGAGTGTTTTTGACTAGGTATTTATTCTTTGAGTCCTTCTATAGAATTTTTTTTTTCAGGATGAGCAAAGAAAAAGGAATTGGGAATTGGCTTGGTGAAATATGGAACCTACTTTTAGCAATTTGGAAAGGTTGCATTTATTTGTAATCCTTGGTTTATGTATTTCATCAGTGGAGAGAAAGTAAGAAGCAACAGTTCAATAAGAGGCAAAGTTCAACATTTTACTAGAGATAAAGAGAAGATGGAGAGAGAATCAGCTTAGTGTTTTATACATTGGGGGCATGCTGGGAGTGGATGGAAATGGAAAAGGGGGCATGAACTGTCCAATTTGAGAGATGCTGCCCTATGAAAAGCTGTAAAATGTATTGTTTTTCCTGGTTATGTAATTCTTATTCATTGTAGAAAATGTGGAAAATATGGAAAAGTACCAAGCATTAAATGATAGTCATCCTTCATTCTATCTCCAGAGATAATCATGGGTGGAATTTTGATATACATCCTTCCACTTGTATTCAAGCACATACAATAAACATAGGCTTTCCTTTCCACTAAATCAATCTAGTAATCTACCTAGTTTTTAATTACCTTTTTCCAGTTAATACATTATACACTTTTATAATAAAAGCCTCTTTCAGCATCATATAATGGCTTCTTCCTGATCAGGATTCCACTTTAAAAAGAAAGTATAGAAATAAAATTATAATTTTAAAAATCAGTCTTTTGTTACTTGGCACTTAGTTGTTTCTTTTTCTTTAGATATTATAAATAGTGCTTTATTGGATCAACTCTGGGCATCTTTTGTTGCACAATTCTGATTATTAGAATATTCTTAAAAGTAAAATTTGTCATGTTAAAAGTTTTGAGGCTTTTTATATGTATTCTCAAATTGTACTGCAGAAACTCACCAGCAGTCCAAGAGAGTGCCTGTTTTCTAAGATACCATTCATTATTATTTTTAGAACTTTTGACAGTTTGATCTGTAAAATGTTATTTTATCTAATTTGCATTCTTAATTATTAACAATATTGAAGTTTTCATAATTTATTGGTTGCTTATATTTTTTCTTTTGGCCTTCTTTGGGTATATTTTTTGGGGGTGCTCATCTTGGGAAAAGCTCTTTTTCCTTAGCTTTGTTGGATTCTACTTAATCCAATGATAAGAATCATGCCCTAATGCTGTATATTTGCCTAGATTAATTTCCCAGTCATTTCTGATTACCTGTGCTTAATGATAAATGCAAACTCTACCTTACCATCTTGAAGATCCAGAAGTCATTCTTGATTTAGGAATTGCCAAAACTCGAATACAGAGGCCATTGTATGTATTTCTCCTAACATGACAAGTCTGAGGTGCTGATATAATAACTTCATCAGCATTTTCATATACCAACCTAACAAACATTGAGCAGTAGAATAGATCAGATGCTACCTAGATGGGTTTTGTAGCATACTTAGCTTTTCTAGTGTTTTCGCATATGTTGTAATCCTGCATTTTAGGATTGAATATTCATAAACTACCTGCAAATATTTCTCTTTAAGACCCGATGGGACCAGAACACAGAAAGTCCAAGTGCTTCACTTGTCAATGAGAAAGTTCAGCCATCACCGAATGTCATTTTATATCCAAAAAGGCACCATATTTAGCTTTTTATTTTCTAAATCAGAAATTATTGGTGATGGTTCCCTTTGAGAGTGTATCCACAAAGGTCAGAGAAGTCTAAGGGGTCTGAGGATGCACTCCAGGCTGTCTGTAAATTTTAACAGTTTATAAAGCCATCCTGTCTTTAGATATAGTACTAATTCTTTTGGGGGATTTGCTGAGGTACATAGACACAGATTTCCAGACAGACTAGGACTGGCCATCTTTTTCATGATCAGTATATATAGGAAATGTATCTTTTCTCTTGAGGAATTGTCCATGTGATCTGTTAGAACTTCTTTTGAGCTTGGCATTGAACTATGCATCTAACATTGTCATCATGCCTCTCATGCTCTTATGGCCCCATACAAGTTACTGAGTTCTTGCTTGACCAGCCACCCTAATCATTTTTGCAGCTGGTTTTGGAATTTTTCATGGTTTTATTTTGTTCAAGAGGCATCTCCTTTCCTTTTACATATAGTTTCAGATTAACCAATCACCAGAAATAATATCATTAGGATCAGATGAGGATATGGAAATGGAGATTGCTCTCAAATGATGATAGAGCTGTCACTTTCTTTGTCATGGGCCTGGTGTGGGTAGCAGCGGGGGTTAGAGGTGAGAATCCTTTGGAACCATTCACATTCATTCAACATATTATTGCAGAAAGAACAGGAAATTTGGGTGCCCATCATAGCTTGTGTGACTTTAAGCCTGTTATATCAAGCAGAGGATTGTGGGTCATGTGGGATACAATGTAAGGAAAACAATAGAGAATTTGTGTGATCCAGTAGGCCACTGCCTGTCAAGCACTGCTTCACTTGTATTTCTCTAAGAACTTTGTTGTGTGTGACACTGGGAAAAATTTCCCAAATCCTGTTTTATTCTTTGTAAAACAGAAGTTATTTTAAGGCTGGGTGCGGTGGCTCACAATTGTAATCCCAGCACTTTGGGAGGCCGAGGCAAGCAGATCATGAGACCAGCCTGGCCAACACAGTAAAACCCCATCTCAACTAAAAATACTAAAACTTAGCTGGGCATACTGGCGTGTGCCTGTAATCCCAGCTACTCAGGAGGCCGAGGCAGGAGAATTGCCTGAACCCAGGAGGCGGAGGCTGCAGTGAGCCAAGATTGCACCATTGCACTCCAGCCTGGGCAACAAGAGCGAAACTCCATCTCAAAAAAAAAAAAAAAAAAAATTAGGAGGGCGTGGTGGTGGGCACCTGTAATCCCAGTTACTGGGGAGGCTGAGGCAGGAAAATTGCTTGAACCCAGGAAGCAGAGGTTGCAGTGAGCAGAGATCGCACCACTAAACTCCAACCAGGTGACACAGCTAGACTCTGTCTCTCAAAAGAAAAAAAGTTATTTTAAAAATCCAGTTTACTTACCTGACAGGTTGTATCAAATGAGATCATATATAGAGAAAATTCTTTGTGAGCACTATAAATAATGTTCAGTTGTCTTCATATTGGTTAATTCTTTACTTTCCTAATCAACAGTGTTTTGAGTACTTAGTATGTATCTAACATTCTGGTAGGCACTGGGAAGAGAAAAATGATCCCTTCTGTTAAAAAGCTTTGAAATTTATTGAAGAATATAATACCCACAGATGCCTGAAGTTAGCTACATTTAAGATATGATGCAGACAGTACACTACTTCTTTGGGAAGAGAACTCTCACTGGGAGCTACTGTATTGGGGAGAGATGTCATGGATTAGAGCTTTGAAAGACTAAAGGATCTGAGTAATCACACAGGAGGGAGACTGGCTGCTAGACAAAGGCCATTGGGGAAGTTTTGTTCTTATTAGGTATTTGAGATAGAAGAGAGTTCTCTGTTCTTATTAATACATTAATGAAGAAAATATAGAATTTGCTTTCTGAAAAATATATGACAATTCCTAAAAACTCAGATGTCCAAGAAGTTATAGAATGTGCCTTCATGGGTTTATGCTCAGATTTAAATTGAGCCATATTTTGGTATAATTTGGGAGAAATGAGAATCATCTCTCAACAATGGAGCAAATGAACGTTTTACCATAGGCTGCCCTGAAACTAAGTAATACAATTTTATAAGCAAAGTATATATAGATGGATAACATACTTCTGTCTATTAGTCACTGCTTAACAATCTAATATGCTCCAGTATGACAGTGACAGGCAAATGCAGCACCTGAGAATATGCATCCGCTCAGGCGTGCAGCTCTGCCACAGCTCTGGTTCTTTATGTTCTATGAACCTTTTCAACCTCAGGGTGTAAAGCAGTCAGTTGTCTCTGCCTCATATATGACAAGACTACTAATTTAGTTTGGGTCCGAAAGCAATTCCTGGATCTCACTGGGCAAGAGACCAAAAGGCCCTTGACATCCAATCACCAGGAGCCTTCAGCTGAGCTCTGCAGGAAGAGCCACATGCTGCAAGTGTTCTGGGAAAATAATTGAAAAGTGTCCATGAGGAATTAAAAACTAGATGGTTCCAAAACTACTTTGGGGCTTGCAAAAAGACCACAGCCTGAATTAAGGATGTGGACCTAGAGGAAAATCTGTGTCAAGGGCAACTGCATGTAAATTCCTGCTGTGTTTATCATTGGTAAACATTACGTCACTCAACGGTAACATCTCGTGGATCATGGTGTTATCACCTTGTACTCTGTGTTTCGGAGCTGAGATGTTTTTCTTGCTAATATCATATGCTTGTAGGAAATGGTGTTTGTGGCTTCCATTTTGTAAAATGGAGTAAGATGAACAGGTGGGAAGAAAATGCCTCTCTTTTCCTTCAGTTCCTTTGCCACAGGTTGATGTTTAACAGCTGGAAATAGTTAATGTGTTCATTTTGAGAAGACACACGCTTTATATAACGTTTTGTTGTGATAAATTTTTTTGTCAGAAAAAAATCTCAGTAGAAAGTCAATACAGGTACATATAAAAAGCCAGGTTTTTCTGATACACACCATCTCTGAGTCAAGAAATACAATGTATTATGTCTTGCCTCTGTGGCAAATTTGCCATCCAAGAGACAAATCTTTTCTCCTCAATTATGTTCACACTTGACATTAGCCAAAAGGCTGAGAAGTGATTTTTATTTTCAAGGCAACAATGTCACAGTAAAGCAAAATGAATTTTAAAGTGACTAGAGCTACATTCTGAACCATTTTGATATACAGTTAATATATTGTGAGAGATAGGGTGTGCTTTGTAAAGGGTAAGAAGAACAGGAGAGGAATTGTTGCAAAAGTGAACTACAGAAAGTGGATGATCTGCTGTTGGTCCAAAGCTGCTTGGATTTAAGAACAAGAGTTCACAGAAAACCCAACTAGCAAGTGTGATTAAATCCTGCATGGCTCCAGGGCATAATTCCAGATATGACTTGTTATCAGTTTGTTACTTACTCCCTTATATATTATAGCTGTGTTTTATCCATATTTTTTTTCATTTCCTGGGATGATTTGATGTGACCAAGTATTGGCAATGTGATTTATTATCTTTTAAAAAATCAGAATAATTCCTTAATATCAGTGAAACTAAATTGTGAAATTATTAAGTCACCTGGACAACCATTTGACTTTGAGGGTTTACTTTTTTTTTTTCCAAATAAATCATGAGTTTATATGTTACTTTCTCAAACAGATTTTACTGGAAGGCTGAGACTCTATTTAGATCTGTATTGCCTGCAAAGCCTGTCATAACATGCTGCGCACAGTAGGTGCTTAACAAATACTTATTTGGTTGGCTTTGACAGATATTAGTAATTTTTCCCAGGTCTCTAATTTTTCCCCCATGTTGAAAACGTTATTTAAGAACAAAGCAAGGACTATTTATTATTAAAGTATTAAGATTATTTGTAACAATAGCTGTTTTGTTATATTATTTCAGTGAGCATTAGGTTTTATTGTTCTTCTTGGTAAAATGTTATTTACCTGGAACTAAAAGCCTTGGATTTTATCTCAGCCCAAGAATGTGTGTTTAGCAGAGAATGTAATTAGGGGAAATACTTAAGGGATTGTCAATGCAGTGTTCCTTTAGCGCTTAAGCAATCCATATCCTGCTAAAATGTTTATCTTGTTTTTTTTCTTCCTTTCTGGCTGCTGTTCCAGGTCCCTTATTTCGCGTGAGTCTTTGGCGTCCACGACTTTGAGTCTGACGGAAAGTCAGTCGGCCTCGAGCGTGAAGCAGGAGTGGTCTCACGGCTACAGGGCCTTCCCTTCGCTTTCCTCCAACCACGGCTCTCAAAATGGCATTGATCTAGGGGACCTCCTTAGCCTTCCTCCCGGGACCTCCATGTCCAGCAATAGTGTCTCTAACTCCTTGCCATCTTACCTTTTTGGCATGGAAAATAGCCACTCTCCTTATCCTAGTCCTCGGCACTCGTCCACCAGGTCCCACTCGGCTCGCTCTAAGAAGAGAGCACTGTCCTTGTCCCCGCTGTCTGATGGCATCGGGATAGATTTCAATACCATCATCCGCACGTCTCCCACGTCCTTGGTGGCCTACATAAACGGGTCGAGGGCTTCCCCGGCCAACATGTCCCCACAGCCAGAGGTCTACGGGCATTTCCTGGGCGTGCGTGGTAGCTGCATTCCCCAGCCGTGCCCGGTGCCCAGCAGCCAGAAGGGCGTGCTGGTGGCCCCTGGCGGCCTGGCGCTGCCTGCCTACAGCGATGACGGGGCCCTGGAGTATGAGCGCATGCAGCAGCTGGAGCATGGCGGCCTCCAGCCAGGCCTGGTCAACAACATGGTGGTGCAGCACGGCCTGCCTGGCCCCAACAGCCAGCCAGCCGGCCTGCTCAAGACCGAGCGCCTGGAGGAGTTCCCAGGCAGCGCCCTGGACCTGCCCCCTGCGCCCCCTCTCCCTCCTCTGCCGCCGCCCCAAGGTCCCCCACCCCCTTACCACGCCCACCCGCACCTTCACCATCCGGAGCTGGGGCCCCACGCCCAGCCTTTGTCCTTGCCCCGGGCCACCCTGGACGATGACGGGGAGATGGATGACGTGGGGGGCAAACACTGCTGCCGCTGGATCGACTGCAGCGCCCTGTACGACCAGCAGGAGGAGCTCGTGCGGCACATCGAGAAGGTCCACATTGACCAGCGCAAAGGGGAGGACTTCACTTGCTTCTGGGCTGGTTGCCCTAGACGATACAAGCCCTTCAACGCCCGCTATAAGCTGCTGATCCACATGAGAGTCCACTCCGGGGAGAAGCCCAACAAGTGTACGGTGAGTTTCCGAAGCGCAAGGGGTTACCTCTCTGGAAGGCCTTGCTTGCTTCACATACATGCTTTCCCCAACTCAGCCCATGGGACAGGTGATCTTTTCTTCTTGTATGGAGTTTGCGCATGTGGTGGTCTAGGTATCCATGAGATAGGGCTCCTTTTCAGCTTAAGGGGAAGGTTTCTTCCATGATTAGTGGCTCTTCAGTTCCAGATTTCCTTCTGCAAATGTATATACATGATCCATCCCAGTATATACTGATCCCAGCAGGGGATCAGTCTGCCACCCTGTCTAAAATTTTGGAATGGAGATGCCAGCCAGGTACCAACTTTGAGTTTCCTTAATGTGCATGGATGTGCCAGAGCAGAAGGACACAGACTGCACATAAGTAAGCTTTGGTTCGTTTCCAAAGCAAATATTCAGTGACTTTTCCTTCCCTTGAGTAACTGGGCTAGAATTGGGATGGGAAGAAGAGTGGTTTTGATATTTGAAAAGGAACTCACCACTTAGCAACTTGGCTAGTAAAACTATTTCGACATGTGTCCTCATGCCTGCACTCTGTACCTTCCAGGGTTGAGAGACTAGTTAATGATTTATAGTCGGAATAAAATCACCCAGGGGATACACTGGAGCAAAATCTCACAGGATCTCAACTAATTTTAAGAGGTAGTTTTTTTTAGAGAGGTATGAGGAGAAAGAGCAGAGATGCCTCTGATGCCGAGGGAAGTGGGCCTGATGTCGCTTTCTCTTTGCCTCTGCCTTTCACAACATCCATCCTGGAACTCTCTCTGTTTCTTGGCAAAATTTACTATTTTAAATAATATGATTCTTAAATGATTTCACAACAATTTCACACCTCACAGAAACCCTCAGGGTTTATAAGCAGGGCATCACCCGTGGGATCACAGGATGGCTTTGCACAATCTCAGACAGCTCACTTAAGTCTTGGAAAAAGAAGAACATATGTTTTATATTAGTTTAGATGGACAGAAATATTTCATTTAGAGTTAGAGTCTAAGATTTCTATGTATTCCCTGGATATTGAGTATGGCGCAGGTCACTAAATATGTGAAATATATAAATAAATTTGAAAAGAACCTTATTTGTACTGTGGTTCCCCAGCCGTTCCTTCTTTCTGTAGTATGTCAGTGATGATAAAGAATCTGAACCATGTATATGTTTGATTATAGATTGGCCAAGGTTTCTCATTCATGTAAAAGCAAACCAAACAGGTGATCACTATAATGCAAGTATTCAAAGCACCTTTTCACTGCCCAGTAGGTATTTTTGAAAGAGTTTTTAAGAATTTCTTATGGAATTGAATTACATTTCTTGTCACTACGTTATGCATCACATTGTGATTTTTCTCAAGGAAAACCTGAAGCTGATACATTGCGAGAATGCCAGGTTATATGAGTGAAAAGAATAATTACTTTCCAGGTGGCAAAACCTTACTCTGTCACTGGGGTTCTGCATTAAAAATGCCAGTAAGAGACAAGCAATTGAAGGCAATTTCATTTACTTTGGAACACACCGGCCTATTGCAGGCAGGAAAGACATTCAGACTCTGAAGGAAAACAGTCCAACCTTTTAGTTCTGACTAATCCTGGCTGAAAATAGTTTACTGGATTTGGCTTTACTAAAATAAACATAAAGGCTCGAATTATCCAGAAAAATATTTTTTGCATTGCAAAATTAATTTTTATGCAATAGGACTTCCCCATTTTTCTACTGTTCCCAGACTTTGCAAAGACATATAACTTTATAAAGTTGACTTTTGCTAAAGTACATGATGAATATCAAAAATAGAAATAGTTTAGTGAAAGAATAAGCTGATAGGTTAATGTTTGCAGGCTTATACATAGCTTCTGATTTTCTTGTTCAGGATGGGTATAGGAAGTGATTTCTCTCCTCCTGATCTGCCCACTCTCCACTTCTAAATGGAATCTTTATAAAATTCAGATTGGTGATTTAACAGTGTATCGAATCTAGGACCACAAAGCATTTATTTACACATGTAATAGTGCTAATAATAAACAGGGTTCTTAGGAGCTGACTAATGCTGCAATTCTAGTTCTGGGGCTATATATTTTTAGCAAAAAGCCTTCATTTTCTTATAAAACATACATATCATAGGCAGTATGTCTTCTGAAAACTGTTATGTTTTACATGTCATTTGCTTGACTTCTAGGGTGATAGCAAACTGGCAGCAATTAATTTTGCTGTAAAAGTTTAGCAGTCCTCTTAAGTTGTAATCCACAGATAGAAGACCTGGTTTTTAAAGTAGATGTACACCTGGAAAAAATGCATTTTTCTGCCTTTTTCAAAATGCATATTTATAGACTTGGAGTCCAGACACATACAACTGTTACAACTAAAATGTTTCATCTCCCACTTATTTAAAATCTGATGGTAATTGATTCAAAGCTCAAGATTCTTGCCAAGTAAAATGGCCACATTCTTCTTTTGGAAATGTGAAGTGATCTTTGGTTTTTGTGGCTGTGTCATACACTGCAGGGCTAGGAGCAGTCTAAATTATAAGACCCAGGCCATTTTTTGTTTTACGTATGTTTAACTGCTATTTATTTTCTGTGAATGGTAGAGTTAGTCATCATTTTTACTTGCTTAGCTTATTGACCCAAGAAAGAAATGATGACCACATTGTGTTTGGTGACCATGACTACAAGCAGCACAGAGAGCTTCTGGAAGTTATGATAAAAGAGGGGTGTGTGAGAGGGCTACTCAGTGACAGCTTGCTTACAGTAAGCGGCTGCCGCTGGTCTCCTGCCTCATGCCAAATTCCATGTCATGCATGAGAGAACACATTCTCAGAATCTCTGACCATGACTCCCTGGACTTATCAGAACCCTGGGATTCACATCACTCAGGATTCTAGGTGACAGGACTGCGGGAGGGCTGTGAATGTATTATTTGGTTAACTTACTGGAAGAAGAAAATGGGTTCTTTTCCTTTTCCCACCCAACCGATTCTACCCTTTTGTAGATATCTTTCTTATTGCTTCTGTGGAAAACCCAACCAGCTGCTCTCTTTCCAGGCCTGGCCTCGATTGCAGAGACATTCCCATCCAGTGGCAAAGGGCTTGAGAAGTAAAGCCTCCATAGACAGACAGGCAGACCTCAGCTAGTCAGAAACCAGGATATAGCAATATTATATTTAAACATACCTGACTCCATTCACTGCTGTCTATTAACTATAGTAATTTTTAGGTGCTGAATCATTCTATTTTGACCTTCCTGAGCTTAGACCAACTGCAACCTTCGTAAATCTCAGAATTATCAAAATATTTGAACATTCTCAGGTACAACTGTGGAATTCTATTAAATTTTTCTCAGATGGCAAGGTTTCACATTCTCAGGTCAGAACAAGTCATGGAGTCTCTGTATTTGTCCCTTTCCCAAACCAGTTTCATGTTCCTAAAAGGATAACATGAAGTGTATCCCCAAACCATAGATGTACACTAATCATCCTTAACCCTCTCCGTAGTAATGGTTCCAACAGAGTGCACTCTGACAGTATTTTTACTGTAGATCTTTTTGCCATTAAGTTGAAGAGTGTGCGATGGCTGGGTAACGTGCCCAGTGTGTTCTGAATGATCTTAGGCATGCTCTATCTGTTGGTGCTTCTGATGAGAAAGCTTGTCTGCCTGTCTGATGGAGGCAAAGTGAGTAGAGGGATAGGTTCTGTTGCTAGGATCAGAAACTCTGATGACTTGCCTTAGCATATGATTGAAAGCAGTTGTGCTAGCAGGCTAGGGAGTGCCGATAAGTGAATTAGGGGTAATATGGGTCACCACTTAAATGTTTCTTGTTTTTCCTGGATGAATTTTATCCAATAGCAAAAAGGAATTTTTCAAAACTTTTACCCACCCACGGATTTTCATGAAAATGTCACTGACCAAAGACCAGTTTTGAATTTTGTATGATTTGACTCATTTCTCTACAGGCATTTTGCCTGGCAAAATCCAGAGTATTTGCTTTGGCTTGGATACTGGGTGGTGGTGCTTTTTAAGTAACATTGGATTATGATTTCAAGAAAATAAATACAGAACTAGGGCCATGTCCCCATTCCTCTTTTATGGCCTGATGGCCAGCTTTGGCCTTGTAAGACATATCTTGAGGAAATGTAAATTCATTGTAAGCTGTGGAATGTCTTCTTCACTTCCACTGTTATTTTGATAAGACTTGGTGTTGATGTGGTCTAGGAACACAGGGAACTTAGGAAAATATCATCTAAGCATAATTCTTAATCGCCACTTCATAATGCTCACATTGGCAACAATGAATAAATTATCATAATACCAAGTATCAATAAGGGTATGGAGAAGTGGACATACTTTAGCATTGTTGGAGAAACTAAATTAGTATAACCACTTTGGAGATCAATTTGGTAATACCTAGTAACGTATAGCCAATAAAACTGTATCTAGGTACCTACCATAGAGAAGCCTTTGTACATGGTGGCAAGGAGACATGAAAAAAGGTGTTTATTGCTTTTGTTTTTTTAAAAAGTATAAATTATGTAACTGTCCATAGATAAGTCAATAAACTGTGGCTTATTTCTAATGAAATATAATAAAGGAGTTTAAAGTTAAAATACACATACATACATTACATATATATCTATTATCATGGATACATTTCAAAAAACAATGTTGAGTGAAAAAATTATGTGCAAAAGGGTATATGTGGTATTAATATAATTTATGTATCTTTAAACACAAACTGGGCAATATTATATAGTTGTAGATAAATATATGATTAAACAGTAAAATCATGTGGGCAGGGTACTTAGTAACGTTAGGATAGTGGATACATCTAAAAAGGAAAGAAATAGAAAGAGATGGGATATGAGGATTTTACTTTCTCTTTTTTTCCCAGAGAGAGAGAACTGAAACAGATATGGCAAAATATTGCTATTTTAACTTGATGGTGGTAATATAGGTGTCATAAGTGTCTGTTTAACTATTTGGTATACTTTACTGCCTA